TTTCTTTCAAGGAGTCCAATCAAAAGTGTTTCAAAGAACAAAATCTCAAATTCTAATCTAAGCATGGGTTCATTGGCAAAACATTTTCTAAGCCATTATATTGATGAATTAATGTTTGATTAATGTTTTTAAGATGATTTCATATGGAATTCCTTGAAGAACCCATGTTTTCCTTAAATTCCTAAATTGCTAATGAAGTGGGTTTAATGCATATGATTTAATGTTGATGAAATTGTGTTTAGATTGGATTGTATTGTTGATTTATATGGTTTTCTATACCTATTTATGATGAATTGTTGGTATATGGATGAATTGAGGATTGTGGCCTTATGGGCAAGTTATGGAAGAATTCTCTTGAGGTAAGTAAAATGGTTGGGACTTGAGTGTTGTTGATTATGGCTTTAGAGGATGGCAAGTTGGCTTAATCTCTTATTATGGATAAAATTGTTCTTGCTTAGTTTGATCCACTTATGGTGGAGGTGTTTAATTATGGAATGTATTATGAACATGGACTTGAAGGCATTATCTATTGAATTAAAGTGTTATCAAGTTATGAAATGTTATTGTACTATGTGAAGGTATTCTTATGGTTATAAGGTGATCTTGTACAAAGTGTTATTGTATTGTATATTATATATATAAATGAGGCTATATGTAAAGTCCTATATGAAGCTATATGTAAAGTTTTATGTGAAACTTTATATGTGAAGGTATGATGTGAATGAGTTTACGTGATCTTGTGATGATCCTATGTAAAGTGGATAGCATTGTGATTTAAAGTATGATTTTCTCATGATGTATATATATGAAATGATGTTGGATTATGAAGTATCCTTAGATGATAATGTTGTAACTTGGTTGGTAGACTAAAGTGTCCCTCCTTGTTACTTAAAGTCTTGAATGCATGAATGTGTGAAGTGGGCTAGAACTAAGAAATGGTGCCCTTTCTATAAATGTTAAAAGAGGAATTCTAGGCCAAGACTTGAATCGGCAAAACTAAGAAATGGTGCCTTTTCATAAGTCTAGCTTTCCTAAGTAAATGTATAACCTTGAAGGATGGGCCTTAGGGCGAAGTTCCCTTCTTGAGTGAGATGATAGACTTAGAGATGGATGGAGCCGGAACGGCATGAAAATCCTTATCTAAGAAAGTCAAATGAGCTATCCTTATGAACCTTGATTGGCCATAACTAAGAAATGGGGCCTTTCTTGGGAAGATATACTATGAGTTGGTTGAACTAGAAAAGGAACCCTCTCTAGTGCATATGTGAATGAAAATACTCTATGGGAAACAAGGCTAGCACCGAGTGGATGTGGTTAGGATGGTGGCCCTACTTGAGTATGAGACTAGGGCACAATGAACATCCTTGGACATCCCCTAAACCATGTGCCTACATGGGTTGATTATTAGTTCTACCTTTGGCAAGTAGAACACCTTCCACGGAGTAGGGTAGACTCCGGATTCCATGCCTAGCTAGTATGGTCTATGTCGGTTATGCCTATTCCCATCATGTGGGATGCGCACTCTAGTTATTGGATAGGTTCTACAACGTGTAGGTAGTAGTATGGGATGCTATCTACACATGGCACGAGTAGGCTTTGAAGATACTAAAGTGAGTTCCCTAAGTCTAACGACTATTATGTGAAAGTCCCCTTATGTGCTTGAATGTCTCCAAAAATGGTTTCTTAAAGAATGTTGGTCTATTGATATTATGTTGTAAAGGAAATGTCCTTATCTAAGGTAATCTTGAGAAACACTTAAGTGTGCTTGAAGAGGTTGTATGGGCGGTCACTTCTTGTCTTACTCAAGTGTGTCTTAAGGTTATATTAGGTAGAGGTCCTATGGTAATGAAATGGCTTATGTTCCTTTAAAGTTAAGCATGGGTTGTATATGAATATATGTTGAGTATGTATACGGTTGGCTATGGTTTTATATGTGAACATTGATTTAGTATGTTATATTGTAATGGTACATTCCTTATCTATGGTAACCCTTAGGAACACTTAGGTGTATATAAAGAGATTGTATGGGCGGTCACTTTATGTTTCACATAAGTGTGGCTTTGGGTAACTTGAGATAGAGGTCATGAAATGATGAAAAGGCTTACTTGTCAATTATATTCATGTATTGTACATTGGTACTAGTTGAGTATGTCTATTATGTGGGTATTGTCTTATATGTGGATGATGACTTGAAATGTGTCTCTTATAATTGTGATATGAAGGTTTTATCAAAAATGGTATGAAAGCACATATTTCAAATAAATGTCCTTTTTTAGCATGTTTTTGCATGGTCATCATACTTAGTACTTAATTGTGCTAATTCCATATTTTCTCTATTTTCTACAAGTGTAGGTTCCGGCAAGTGAGCGGGTTTTGTAGTAAACTTGGGATTTGAAGTTCTTCCTAGATTTTGTGGTATGTCCTCATATGTCGAGGGCAAGACTTTTCTATTCTAGTTTTATGATAAGATTCTTGTAATAGACTTAATAGACTTCTTTTGATTGTAAAGGGCCGTGTCCCTAGTATGTTTTCACGTTTATGTCTAAGATGGCTAAGAGACTTAGTATTCCGCTTGTGTACTTTTGAATGATGTTTTTAAAAGTGACCTTTGAGTCTTATGGGATTTTATTTAAAGAGTTTTTAATTCCGCACTATTTTACATATCTAATGTGATGAATGCTAAGGGCTTGTATGAGACCTCCGAGAGGTTGAATACGCATGTTACGACTTGGGGACACTCCCGGGTCGTGACAGAGGACCCTGTACTGAAGGTTCCAGCATTATAGCCTTCTCTAGAACTCGAGGAATATGAGTGGTAGGCTGAGAATTCCTGATCCTGGATGGACCATTCAGCTTCTTAGTTCGCCGCTCAGCCCTCTGTGTTATTGCCAGATCATCCTCATCAGAACCCACACCTTCACTTTCAGATTGGTTAGGGTCAATTTTTATAAAAGTCATCATTGTCAGTGCTTGCATCTAATAACTCAAGGGTCTTGTCTTTGCCATTGCCTTTCCCACCAGTTTTGTAAAGTTTAGCAGCCTTGCTTCTGGATGCAGCTGCATCCTCATTGATTGTAAATCCCTTTTGTTTCCCCTTGGGTTGACCTGCTCCTTCCTGCAACTTTAGATCTAGCCATTTCTACAAAGAATTCGGAAGAAGTTAATACAACTAAATCAAATTCATAGTGACAATTGCAGAAAAACTCGCCAAATAGATCGGCGAATCGCCAAGTTGCTTTGGCGAGCTAAGCTGAGCTCGCCGATAGGAGTTGGCTCAAAAATTTTAACAAGTCGGTGATGGGAAAATCCTTTCGGCGAGTCGCCAACCTCTTTCGGTGAGCAAGGTTTTATCTACCGAAAGATATAGTGCAACAAAGGTTCAGGGGTGCAGGCAAAGGGCAATCAAGGAGACTTTTAGCGAGTCGCCGAATGCTTTTGGCAATAAAAGACTTCTCGCTGAAAGTTACAAAACCCACATCACAAGTAGCTTGAAATTAAAGACGAGATGGGGTCATTAGGCAAACCGCCGAGTGGTTCAGCGAGTTCGACCCAGCTCGCCAAATGACCCAACGTTCTTACTTTCGACCCAAATTCTCAGATTCAACCCCGCAACCCCCGAAAACAAAATTAAGGTATGCACTAGTACAATTAAGCTCAGACCAACAACACTCAATAGTGATAAACACCACGCACACACAACCCCACAAGATTCAACTCACTTTTACGCGCGACAAAAAGGAAATTCAAAAGTCAAGATAAAATGGGAAAGATTTTCAAATTGAACTCGGCATTCCATCAATCTAAAGCTATCAGAGAGGCCCAGCACACATCAATACAATAATCCTAATTGCATAAGAGAACAAAATTTTCAAAGTAGCATCGGGGTTCGGGAAAACCAACCTTTGATGCCGATCGAAGTGCTTTGAAATGCTAGGAGGCAACTTAATCCCAAGTTTGAACACCAATCAACGACGAAAATACTAGGAATGCAAAGATAATGAAGATACTTACTAGGTGCATATTTGCAAAATTCAAAATCGAGGAGAAAAATGAAAATTTGTTAAACTTTGAAACCACTGACCTTTAGAATCGTCCAGCTTTAGCCCATTCGGCGACATTATTTATGATCGTTGAACTACTCGGCATCATGATGCCGAGTAGTCAATTGCCTCGCCGAAATTTACAACACCTCCAGTTATTGTGGGAGTTCAAACGACGATCTCCGTCGGGATCGCCGACATGGTTTGCAATTCGCCAATAATTTTTTGAGTTCACCGAGTTTTATAGACTCTAAGTAAATTGGTCTTGAGTCCAACGACGGTCTAGTTCAGGGTCGCCGACCCTTCGACGATTCGCGGATTGGACCTATATCTTGCCAATCTACACTTGTCGATCACTCTTCACATTTCAACCTACAAAATCAATACATCATATTTCTATAATAAAGCAAAGCATTTAAGACCTTGGGTTGCCTCCCAAGAAGTGCCTTAGTTAACGTCGTGGCACGACTTCTCTGCTCAGTTTTGATTTGTGAGGAAGATATGGGACATCACATGACTCATTTGAGTCTCCAATCGCTGGACAGATAGGAATTGAGAGGTAGATATCTCATTTAGTAGCAGACATTCCCCTTTATCTCATTTAACATCTTGTCGTGATCTTCGACTTCGTTGAGACTGAGTGAGAGCATCTCCTCTATTTATCCATCCTTGCTTGCATTGGGTTTCATACGCTCGTGAGATGGAACGTACCGGTATTTTCTTTTATCCGATGCTTCCAATTCCATAATCTTCTTGGTCACTGAATCTAATTGAGTCAACAACGTGGCCAGAGTATTGTCTTTTTCAACATCCTTGTTAGTCATTGCCATGTGATCAAGGAGTTGGGTAGCTATTGCAAAGGGTAGTCGTGAGAGTCCCCCAGGAAATATTTGATTTGCCATTCTTTTATTCTCCTGACCGAAACTTTTGTAGAAGCAGTCCAGCAACACGCTTTCTGAGATTCCATGAGCTGGGGATTTTAGGAAGAGTGCCTTGAATCTCAACCACAGTTCATGGATGGATTCTCCTTCGACTTGTCTAAAACTCAAGATTTTGTCCCTGAGAAACACCATCCTTAAAAGAGAGGGATTTAGTTGTTCACTATTGCCACTAATCATAATCTAGATTCCTACTAAAAATAGCAACACAATGAAAAACAAACTAAAATCAAGTAAGTAAAGCTACAACTAAGAAGAACAAAAACTCTACTAATCTAAGAATTCTCAAGTAACACCACTCCCCAGTAGTGGCGCCATTTTGATATTTGCATAATCAAGACACAACTTCCAATGCAAGTGTCTACGATCGTACAATAGTAAAGTAACACAACCAAGGGTTGGGGTCGAATCCCAAGGGAATGATTTTGAGAATTAATAGAAAAATAAAATTAAGTTCTAATTAGTTGTAGCTAAAAACATTATCGATTAAAAACATGGTAAATCAAAGGGGTAACGCAAGCGTCAAGTATCAAATGGGGATTTGTCACAAGTAAATAAAAATTGCAAAAATACAAAGAGTGCTAATCAAGGAGACGGGATTCTTGGATGTGATAGGAATACGGGATAAACTACACTATTGGGTACATGCTTTTGATATTAAATCCGTTGAATATTTGTGACTAGGCTAGACTATAATGGGGGTAAATTCTCTCTCGAGCAACTTACCTCGAATCAACTCGGTTTCTCTCGAACACCAGTTGTCGCATGAAGAACAACCTCTGCCTTAGCCCACTCACTCTCTTGAGCTGAGTGTGTGGGAGAAGGACTAGGGTTCACTCTCTTGAGCTGAATCTCATGTTGACACACTCCCACCGGCCATCAATTTAGTAGTCTTAGTTTTACGACCTCTCGCTCGAGCAAGTCGAAAACACAAAGGTGAAATCATATTTGTAACTACAATTTCATTAAGTTCCAACACAACTACTAAATGATATCACATCTAAACAACAAATAAATCATCAACAAGTAAGACCCAACAATTAATCTAACCCATATTCACAAAATCACACCCCAAGAATTGGGTTTTAGCTAGACATGTAAAAGAGAGAGAAATTTATACAAAAATGAGTTTACATTAAAATGGCTATGAAGATTTAAGTCTCAAAACAAGTCAATAGTGAAGAATCCGCAAGACCCAAGCCCAAAATCTTGGAGTTGAAACCCTTTGAATCTTCAAGTTCTTCAAAACCCTTTCCAAACTTAGAACTCAAAAATAAAGTAAAGTCTGAAAAATTATTGTTCAAAGCTAAAAATTCATTTTTTAAGCTACACTCTCAACGAGTATTTATAGTCTTCAAAAATTTATGTTGTGAAGGATCACTCGGCGAAGTTAGTCGGGATCACCGATCAACTCGGCGATCCGCCCTTTGGTATGTTTCAACATCGTCTTGCTCTACCCTTCAACATCAACGTGTTTTGGATCATTGGGTGACATAGAACTGCTTCGCAGAACTGCTCGGCGATACGCCGACTGCTCCTTTTCACCGCTGATTTCATCATTTCCTTCAGGGCTCAGTACATTGGAACAAAAGGTGAGGATAAGACCTTCTGGTGACTCGCCGAATGGGTTCGGTGATTCTGAGATCTTCATTTCTTTGTTCTTCAGCTGCCTTTGTTCCTTTTTGCTAAGTAGTGTCCAAATTTTCCCTCAAACTCCAAATACCTAAAACTTAAGGGTTTTCATCAGATATTGAGACAAAATATGCATTTGAGGACACTAATTCTATAAAAATATAGACCTAAATGAGTCCAATTTGAGGACTCATCACTTCCCAAGTAGCTTCGTCAACAAATTGGTTCCTCCAAAAGACTTTGACTGATGCTACCTCTATTGTTCTCAACTTGCAAACTTAGCAATATAGAATTTGATCCGGAATCTCTTCATAAGATATACTATCCTTGATACCAATATTTTCAGTTGGTATGATCAATGAAGGATTGCCCATGCACTTCTTCAACATGGAGATGTGAAATACCGAATAAACCACGACTAACTCTTGTGGTAGCTCCAACTCATAAGCTACATTGTCAATCCTCTTGGATATTCGATACGGTCCAATATACCGGGGACTAAGTTTCCCCTTGTTACCAAACCTCATAACACCCTTCATGGGTGAAACTTTTAGATATACCCAATCATCTACTTCAAACTCTAACTCATTTCTCCTAACATCAGTGCAGGATTTCTGACAACTTTGTGTCATTTTCAACCTCTCTTGAATCAATTTCACCTTCTCCATAGCTTGATGAACTAAATATGGTCCTATCAACCCTGCTTCAACAACTTCAAACCATCCAATAAGAGATCTGCATCTTCTCCCATAAAGAGCTTCATATGGAGCCATCTGGATGTTAGAGTGGTAACTATTATTGTATGCAAATTCAATAAGAGGTACGTGATCATCCCAATTACCTTTAAAATCAATCACACAAACCCTCAACATATCCTCTAAGGTATGAATAGTGCGCTCTCCTTGACCATTTGTCTAAGGATGAAAAATAATACTCAAGTTCACCTTTGAACCCAAGCCTTTCTCGAATGACTTCCAAAACTATGAAGTAAATTGAGCACCCTTATCTGATATAATCGAAACATGGACTCCATGAACTCCTATCACCTCCTGAATATACAACCTAGCATAATCTTCTGCTGAATAGGTAGCCTTTACGGGCAAAAAGTGGGCTGATTTTGTCATTCTATCAACAATCATCCAAATGGAGTAATGCTGCCTACGAGACCTTGGCAAGCCTATGATGAAATCCATATTGATCATCTCCCACTTCAATTTCAGAAGTTTTATATTCTGAGCCAAACCACCGGTCCTTTGGTGCTCTACTTTAACTTGTTGGCAATGGGCACTTAGCAACAAATTCTGCAATGCCCTTCTTCATACTATTCCACCAATACACCTCTCTCAAATCATGATACATCTTTGTGGAACCCAGATGAATGGAATATCTGGAGCTATGAGCCTCTTCCATGATCCTCTCTTGGAGTCCATCCACCATTAGTACACATAACCTACCTTGATATCCCAATACTTCATCGCCCCCTTGTTTAAAAGAAAATAGTTTTTGCGTATGAACATTTGCCTTCAATTCAAGCAAAATGGGCTATTGGTCTTACTTTTCTTTCACTTCTGACACTAGTGATGATTCAACCCCATTCATCACCACTACTCATCCTTCTGTGGAATCCATTAGTCGGACTCCTAAGTGTGCAAGTCTATGCACATCTTTCGCTAACTCTCTCTTTTTTTCCTCAACATGGGCGGTACTATCCATAGGCAACCTGCTTAAAGCATCAGCAACAACATTAGCCTTACCTGGGTGATAAAGGATACTCATGTCATAATCCTTGAGTAATTCCAACCACCTCCTTTGTCTGAGATTAAGCTCTATCTGAGTGAACACATACTGAAGGCTCTTGTCATCAGTGAATACATCTACATGAACACCATATAAAAAATTACGTCATATCTTCAAAGCAAATACTACAGCAGCCAACTTTAAGTCATGGGTTGGGTAAATTTTCTGATGGATTTTCAACTGTCTAGAGGCATAAGTTATAACTTTGCCATTTTGCATTAGCACACAACCCAAATCAACTCTAGACGCATCACAATATACAATAAAGCCTTGCATACCTTCTGGTAAGGTTAACACAGAGGCGGTAGTCAACCTCTTTTTCAATTCCTAAAAGCTTTTCTCACAAGCTTCAGACCATTGAAACTTCACTATTTTCTGAGTTAACTTGGTCAAAGGGGATGAAATAGATGAGAACCCTTCTACGAACCTTCTATAATAGCCAGCCAAACCCAAGAAACTCCTAACATCAATTGGAGATATGGGTCTATGCCAACTCTACATTGCCTCTATCTTTTGGGTATCAACTCTAATTCCATCACCGAAAACTATGTGGCCCAAGAACGCCACAGGCTCAAGCCAAAACTTACATTTAGAGAACTTAGCATATAACTCCTTATCTTTCAAAGTCTGATGAACTATTCTGAGATGGCTGGCATGATCTTCTTCATTCCTTGAATAGATTAGTATGTCATCAATGAAGACGATAAAAAACATATTTAAATAAGGTTTGAAAACTCTATTCATAAAGTCCATGAACGTTGTAGGTGCATTGGTCAAACCGAACGACTTGACCAGAAACTCATAATGACCATAACGGGTCCTGAATGTTGTCTTGAGAATATCATATTCCTTACTTTCAACTGGTGGAAACCTGATCTGAGGTCTATTTTTGAAAAATATGAAGCACCCTAAAGTTGATCGAAAATATCATCAATTCTCGGAAGAGGATACTTGTTCTTGATGGTAACCCTATTCAATTAGCGGTAATCTATACCAATCCTAAGGGAACCATCTTTCTTTCTCACAAATAAGATCGGAGCACCCTAAGGTGAGACACTTAGTCGAATAAAACATTTCTCTAAAAGATCTTTCAACTGCTATTTTAACTCTTTCAACTCTGCTGGTGCCATTCTATATGGCGGAATAGAGATAGGACGAGTATCTAGAAGAACATCTATACCGAAGTCTATCTCTCTCTCAGGAGCGAATCTGGGTAGATCATCTGGAAGAACTTCTGGAAACTCTTTTACTATAGGAACTAACTGAATATGAGGTATCTCAACACTAGAGTCATTAGCTCGGACTAAGTGATAGACACACCCCTTGGAAACTAACTTTCTTGCCTTAAGGTATGAAATGAAATGACCCTTAGGCACTGCTGAACTACTTTTCCACTCTAAGACTGGCTCATTAGGAATTTGGAACTTGACAACTCAAGTTTTATAATCAATGGAGGCGTAACGGGCATGAAGCCAGTCCATACCTAGAGTGACATCAAAATCTACCATGTCTAACTCAATTAAATCAGCCATGGTGTCTTTGTGATTAATGGAAATGACAAAATCATGATAAACTCGCTCAGCTAGAATAGATTCCCCAACAGGTGTAGAAACACAAAAGGGTTCACAGAGTTTCTCAGGAATAACATCAAACTTATTTGCAACATAAGGGGTTACAAAAGATAAACTTGCTCCTGGGTC